GGTTGGAGATTATTTCGACAGAACTTTCTTATCACCTGAACTGGATTTAGGGATTTAGGGATTTTTGTTCAATTTTTAATTTAATTTAATTTTTAATTTTTTTTGTTTCTTCAGTTTTTCCATTTGCAATTTCTCGAGATCACAAGTTTAAAGTTTTCAATGTTTAGATTTTGCAATTTTTTTCGGTTTTTATTTTCCTTATTCTTTCAATTATTAGATTTTTTAATGCTTCCATTTTATAAGTGTTTTATTTTCAAATTTAATTTTTTTCGTTTCTTCAGTTTTTCGATTTGGAATTTTTCAATTTTAAATTTTTCAGTTTTTAGATTTTCTAACTTTTGGATGTTTCAATTTAGATTTCGCAATTTTCTGATTTCCAATATCACGAGTTTTCAGTTTTTCATTTCTTCAAATTTTCAGATTGCGTTTTTCGTTTCGGGTTTTTCTTTCATTATTTTTGCAATTTTTACTTGTTTTTTCAATGTTTCGATTTCATGATTTATTATATTTATTTTTTGTTTCTTTGTTTCGGTCTGCAATTTTTCGATTTAAAATTTCTCGAGTTTTCAGTCTTAATTTTTCAATTTTTCAATTCTTTAATTTTTCATTTCTTAAATTTGCAGTTTCACAAGCTTTCAATTTTTCTCTTGGATTCATTTTCTTTATTAATTTATTCAAAAATTCGGGGTTTCAGTGTTTGGATTATTCAATTTTTCGATATGGAATTTTTCGATTTTTCAACTTTTAGATTTTTTATTTTTCGTTTTTTCAATTTTAGATTTTCAGTTTCTCGATTTTTCAATTTTTTGTTTCTTCAACTTTTCGAATACAAGGAAACATTGCAAAACTGAAAAATTGAAAAATCCAAAATAAAAAAAAGTATAAAATGAAAACTTTGAAAAATCTAAAAATTGGGAACCAAGAAATTGAAAAATTGAAAAAAGATCAAGGATTAAGGATTAACGATGAAGGATCAAAGATGAAGTATCAAGTATGAAGGATGAAGGATCAAAGATCAAGGATGAAGGATGAAAGAGCAAGGATGAAGGGTCCAGGATGAAGGATGAAGGATCAAGGATGAAGGATGAAGGATCAAGGATGAAGGATCAAGGATGAAGGATGAAGGATAAAGGATAAAGGATGAAGGATAAAGGATGAAGAATGAAGGATAAAGGATCAAGGATAAAGAATCGAGGACAAAAGATGAAAGATCAAGGATGAAGGATGACGGATCAAGGACGAAGGATGAAAGATCAAGGAGGAAGGATAAAGGATCAAGGATGAAGGATGAAGGATAAAGGATGAAAGAAAAAGGATAAAAGATCAAGTATAAAGGATCAAGGACAAAGGATCAAGGACAAAGGATCAAGGATAAAGGATCAAGGATAAAGGATCGAGGATAAAGGATCAAAGTTAAAGGATCAAGGATCAAGGATGATTTTTCAATGTAAAATTTTTCAATTTTTGAGTTTTTCAATTTTTCGATTTGCAGTTTTTTGGTTTTAAATTTTTCGATTTTTCAATTTTTAAACTTTTTATTTTTCGTTTTTCCAATTTTAGAATTTTCAGATTCTCTATTTTCAATTTTCGTTTCTTCAATTTTTGAATTGCAATTTTTCTAGTTTTCATTTTTAATATGTAATAATTATAATTTTAAAAATTTTTCACTTTTTCAATTTTACGGTTTTAGGTTTCCATTTTTCAGTTAACGACTTTTAAACTTTTTCATTTGTTCGATTTTTAATTTTTCAATTTCACCATATTTAATTCATTTGTTCAATCTTTGAATGCTCCAATTTTTCGACTTTACAATTTTGGTGATTCCATAATTTTTCAATTTTACTCGAGTTTCTCGAGTTTTCAATTCTTTTCGGGTTTCTATTTTCCTTATTCTTTCAATTATTCGATTTTTTAATGCTTCCATTTTATAAGTTTTTTTATTTTCAAATTTAATTTTTTTCGTTTCTTCAATTTTTCGATTTGCAATTTTTCAATTTTAAATTTTTCACTTTCTAGATTTTCCAACTTATGGATGTTTCAATTTAGATTTCGCAATTTTCTGATTTTCATTTTCACGAGTTTTCAGTTTTTCATTTCTTCAAATTTTCAGTTTGCGTTTTTCTTTTCGAGTTTTTTTTTTCATTATTTTTACAATTTTTCCTTTTTTTTTCAATGTTTCGATATTATGATTTTTTGTATTTTCATTTTAAATTTTTTCAGCTTTTTGTTTCTTCAATTTTTCGGTCTGCAATTTTTCGATTTAAAATTTCTCGAATTGTCGTTTCTTAATTTTTCAATTTTTCGATACTTTAATTTTTCATTTCTTCGAATTTTCGATTTGAAATTTTTCGTTTCGGTTTTTTGTTTTCTTTATTTTTCCAATCTTTCAATTTTTCAATGTTCTGATTTTATATTTTTTTATTTTTTCAATTTCAATTTTTTCATTTATTAGCGTCATCAATTTCTCGATTTACAATTTTTAAATATTTCATTTTTTTTTTGTTTCTTCAATTTTACGACATTTTTTAATTCATCAGGTTTTCGATTTTGTAAATCTTAAATTTGCAGTTTCACAAGTTTTCAATTTTTCGCTTTGATTCATTTTTTTTTATTTATTCAAATTTTCGGAGTTTCAATGTTTGGATTTTTCAATTTTTCGATATGAAATTTTTCGATTTTTCAACTTTTAGATTTTTTATTTTTCGTTTTTTCAATTTTAGATTTTCAGTTTCTCGATTTTTCAATTTTTTGTTTCTTCAACTTTTTGAATACAAGGAAAAATTGCAAAACTGAAAAATTGAAAAATCGAATATAAACAAAGTACAAAATGAAAACTTTGAAAAATCTAAAAATTGGGAATCAAGAAATTGAAAAATTGGATGAAGGATTAAGGATGATGGATCAAGAATGTAGGATAAAGGATGAAGAATCGAGGATGAAGGATCAAGGAACAAGGATCATGGATCATGGATCAAGGATCAAGCACCATGGATCAAGGGTCAAGGACCAAGAATGAAGAATCAAGGATGAAGGATCAACTATCAAGGATGAAGAATCAAGAATGATTTTTCAGTGTGAAATTTTTCAATTTTTAGATCTTTTTATTTTTCGTTATTTCAATTTTAGAATTTTCAGATTTTCAAGTTTTCGTTGCTTTAATTTTTGATTTGCAATTTTTCTAATTTTAAATGAAATTTTGAAAATTAAAGAAATCGGAAATTCGGGTAATTCAGGATGAAGGATCAAGGATGGAGGATCAAGGTTCAAGGATTAAGGATGAAAGATCAAGAACGAAGGATAAAGGATCAAGGATCAAGAATGAAGAATGAAAGATCAGGGACGAAGGATAAAGGATGAAGGATCAAGTATGAAGGATCAAGGATCAAGGATCAAGGACGAAGGATGAAAGATCAAGGACGAAGGAAAAAGAATCAAGGAAGAAGGATGAAGGATAAAGGATAAAGGATCAAGGATAAAGGATAAAGGATAAAGGATCAAGGATAAAGGATCAAGGATAAAGGATCAAGGATAAAGGATCGAGGACAAAAGATGAAGGATCAAGGATCAAGGACAAAGGATCAACAATAAAGCATAAAGGATCAAGGATCAAGGATAAAGGATCGAGGATAATGGATCGAGGATAAAGGATTGAGGATAAAGGATCGAGGATAAAGGATCGAGAATAAAGGATCGAGGATAAAGGATCAATTATAAAGAATGATTTTTCAATGTGAAATTTTTCAATTTTTGAGTTTTTCAATTTTTCGATTTGCAGTTTTTTGGTTTTAAATTGTTCGATTTTTCAATTTTGAAACTTTTTATTTTTCGTTTTTCCAATTTTAGAATTTTCACATTCTCTATTTTCAATTTTTCGTTTCTTCAATTTTTGATTTGATAGTTTTCATTTTTAATATGTAATAATTATAATTTTTAAAATTTTTCTCTTTTTCAAATTTACGGTTTTAGGTTTCCATTTTTCAGTTAACGAATTTTAAAATTTTTCATTTGCTCGATTTTTCATTTTTCAATTTCACCATATTTAATTCAATTGTTCAGTCTTTGATTGTTCCAATTTTTCGACAATTTTGGTGATTCCATAATTTTACAATTTCACAATTTTTGGCTTTTCCAATTTTCCTATTCGTTAATTTTTTGGATTTTTAATTTCTCTATTTTTGGTTTTTCAAATTTTCAATCTTTCCTTTTTTCAGTGATTCGATTATCCTTTTTTTCGCTTTTGCAAGTTTTGGATTTTTAATTTTTTCGATTTTCCAACAATCGGATATTTGGGGAATCAAAAAATTGCAAAATTGAAAAATCTAAAAATCGGAAAACCGAGGAAACGAAAAATAAAATATTAAAAAATTTGAAGCATTGAAAAAATGGAAAAGTATAAAATCAAAAGAAATGTGGAAAAATAAAGGAAATGAAAAAAATAAAATTGTGATATAAAATCGATAAAATGAAAATTAAAAAACCGGGAAAATAAAACATAAAACTCAAGAATTTGAAAAATTGGGAAAACGAAAAATAAAAACGAGAAAATGAAAATTGAAAAATCGGGGAAATAAAACATAAAATTCGAGGATTTGAAAAATGGAAAAAACGAAAAAATATATAATCTCAAGAAACATTGGCAAAATAAAAATGAGAAAAAGAAAATTGTAATTCTAAAATCTATGAGTGCATTGATGAACCACAGTTATGGAGTCATAATGCTTTGGATATTTCAGAGAAGATTTATACGAAAAAATTTTGAGACGACGACATCAATTTTTTGGAAGGGGATAAACGAATAAATTTTGTATTCAGTTCAAATTCAGTAAAAACTTGAAAACAAGAATTCCCATCCTGTTTCGTCTTCTATTCTTCTTCCTTACAGACAACTTCACGAATTTAAAAATTTTTCCACAATTTCCAAAAAAGGTCAAACATCAGTGAAAATAAAACCGACAAAAATTAACTGACACCGGCACTCTGACGGCCTCCTGTCACCTGTCATTTAATTGTCACCCGTGCCGACATTTCGACCCCCAAGTCAAAATTCCAGTAGACCATGCCAAACCCCGCCGCCCTCCTGCTGCTCTCCCTCTCCCTCCACTTCTCCCTCTGCAAGGACCCAAATGTCCTCCAGCTCACCGACACGAACTTCTCCCACCGCCTCAAGCAGAACCCAGTCTTGCTCGTCGCCTTCTTCATCCCCTGGTGCGGCCCGTGCCAAAAAATGCGCCCCCAGTACTCCCGAGCCGCTAACATCCTCAAAGGCTACAACCTCCCCGTAGCTCTAGGCAAACTGGACTGCTCCGGTTTAGGAAAACGGACCTGCGAGCAGAAACAAATCGGGCACCATTTTCCCGTCATCCATCTCTACCGCAACGGGAGCTTCGTCAAAGAGTACACCAACACTAAAGACTGTTTTGGGTTCGTCAAGTTCATGAGGGTGCAAATTTTGCCTAGTGCGGTGGAGCTGAAGAGTGTCGACGAGTTCAAGAAGTTCATCAAGGGGCAAGAGGACGTGGTGGTGGTGGGGTTCTTTGAAGAGGAGTCTCGTTTGAGGAAGATGTTTTTCAAGGTGGCGGAGAAGATGAAAGAGAGGATTTTTTTTGCGTATACTAGGTGTGAGAAGGTGTTGTTGAGGGAAGGGGTGAACAATGGGATTGTGTTGTTCAGACCGGAGATTACACACTGTAGGTACGAAGAAGAGAGGGTGCTGTTTACCGGGAGGGTGGTCATTGGCGAGATTAAGAATTTCATTATCAAAAATTACTACGGGCTGGTTGGGTGCCGGAGCCCTGCTAACATCATCCACTTCCCGAACCCTCTGATAATTCTTTACTACACTGTGGACTACAACAGCAGTGGCAAAGAACCAGGCTACTGGAGGCTGAGGATGCTCAAAGTCGCACACAAATATCAAAAATACGTGAAGTTCGTCACCAGTGCCAAAGACGACTTTGAAGAAGAGCTCGTTGACTACCCCGTGGAGTACGGCAATCTCATGCGCCCCTTCGTCTTAGCCAAGGATCTAGAAAACAAAAAATATATCATGACGGAGGAATTCACTTCGGAAAACTTCGATCGGTTTGTGGACGACTTCGTCCACCATCGGTTGGAGCAGTACCACAAAAGCAAACCTGTACCATTCGAAGGCGATGGTGTCACGGTTATGGCTTCAACTAGCAATTTCAACAACACGGTGACCAACAATGGTAAAGACACTCTGTTGCATTTTTACGACCCTGGGAATCACACTTCTCGACTAGTCGCTATGGTTTTGAGAGAAGCGGCGCATTTGCTTCTTGAGGAAGATGTAGTGGTCGTTACGATGGATATCGGAGAGCACGAAATTCCCCCAATTTTTCCGGAAGATAAAGTGGAGAGTTTGTATTGGTTGCCGAAGGACGATAAGGAAAATCCGATTTTGTATACGGGACGAAAGGAAGTGGAAGATGTGATTCAGTTTGTGGCGGAAAAGGCTACGACGAAATTGAAGAACTACGACAGGGATGGGAATCCCACACATGTGAAGGATGAGTTGTAGGTGATTGCGTAGGGTTATCACTCTAGATGTATAAAGTGTGTGGTTATTTTGAGCGACTGTTTTATTATTAGTGGTAATTTGAGACAATCTTGGAGGCCCCAGGTGGTTTCATTAAAAAAATGTTTAAAAACCTTGGAGTCCCTTTAATTTAAAAGAACCTTGGAACTCCTGCTATGATAAAAAAAATGAAAAAACATTGGAATTCCTAGTGTTCTCATGGGGTTTTTACTGTCTTTTTAAAATACTCTTGACACCCTTGGAGTGTTCATTGAAAAAATCTTGGGGTTTCTAGTGCTTTTTTTAAGTATTTAAAAGAATTTGGAGCCCCTGCTGCGTTCATAAAAAAGTTGAAAAAAAAATTGAGTTCCATTGTCCCTTTTTTGAAAGAATTTAAAAGAATCTCAGGACCCCCGCTGGATTCATTAAAATTTTTTTGAAAATAATGGGGTCTTTGGTGCCTTTTTCTTCAATTTGGAGGCCTCTACAAGTTTAACTGAAAAAACATGGAAAAGAACCTTGGGATCCTAAGTGGCTTTTTTGAAAAAATAAAAAAATCTTGGGACCCCTTTTGTGAAAAAGTCTTTCCTTCATGTGTTTTGTTAAAGAATTATAAAGAATCTTGGGACCACCACTGGGTTCTTAAAAAAAAAATGAAAAATAAGAAGTAATGTGGTCTTTGGTGCCTTTTTTTAATTTGAAAGAATCTTGGAGGCTCCTACTGGTTTAACTAAAAATAGTCAATATATTTTTGAAAGAATTAAAAAAAAAACTCTGGGGCCCTCACTGAGTTCATTAAAAAAAAAATAATAATAAAGTCTTTGGTGCCTTTTCAATTTGAAAGAATCTTGGAGGCTTAATTAAAAAAAAAAAAAACTTAAAAAAATGATCTCCCCAGTGCAGTGTATTTTTGAAAGTATTTTAAAAATCTTGGGGCGCCCACTGGGTTTTAAAAAAAAAGCGTTTTTGGTACTTTTTTTTTTAATATTGAAAAAATATTTGCGTCCTTTGATTACTTTTTTTAAGAATTTGAGAGAACCATGGAGGCCCCTCTTGGTTTAATGAAAAACGTGTTTAAAAACCTTGGAGTCCCTTTAATTTAAAAAAATCTTGGGATTCCTGCCGTGTTCATAAAACAAAATTGAAAAATCTGCGGATTCCAAGTGATTTTGATAAAAAAATTAGCAGAATATTTGCGCCACCTGTCCTTAAAAAAATGAAAAAATATCGGAATTCCTAGTGTGCTAATGGGGTTTCTACTGCTTTTTTAAAAAATTTAAAAGAATCCTGAGGCCCCTGCTGTGTTCATTAAAAGAAAAAAAGAAAAAAAGAAAAATAGTGAGGGTCTTTGTAGCCTTTTTCTTGAATTTGAAAGAATCTTTGAGATCCCTACTGGTTTAATTGAAAAAGCAAAAAAAAATCCAAAGTGGCTTTTTTGAAAAAATAAAAAAGGATCTTGGGGTGCCTTCTGTGTTCATAAAAAAATTAAAAAGTCGTGGGTTCCTTCGTGTTTTTTTTAAAGAATTTAAAAAAATCTTGGGACCACTGCTGGGTTCTTAAAAAAAAATAAAAAGTAATGTCATTTATGATATCCTTTTTTAAGAGTTTGAAAAAATCTTGGAGGCTCCTGTTGGTTTAACTAAAAAAACATTGAAAAAATCTTTGTATCCCAGGTGTCTGTTTTGAAAGAATTAAAAAAAAATTTCGAGGTCCCACTGGGTTCATCCAATTTTTTTTTTAAATAATGGCGTTTATGATGCTTTCTTTTTAAAAATTTAAAAGAATTTTAGGGCCCCCGCTATGTTAAAAAAAGTGAAAACATATTAGGGTTGTTTGCGTACTTCTTTACAAAATTTTGGTTTCATAGAAAAAAAAAAATTAAAAACGAATCATTGGGTTCATAGAAAAAAAAAAATAATGGAGTCTTTGGTGTCTTTTTTCAATTTGAAAGAATCTTGGAGACTTCTGCTGGGTTAATAAAAACATTGAAAAAAATCTTGGAAAAAAAATTGGGAATCCTAGTGGCTTTTTTGAAAAAATTTAAAATATGTAATGTGGTTTTTGGTGTCTTTTTTTTTAAGAATTTGAAATAATCTTGAAAACCCATGCTGGTTTAATAAAAAAAAGTGTCTTTTTTGAAGGGACTTTAAAAAATCTTGGGGTCCCCATTGGGTTCTACAAAAATTTTTTTAAATATATGCGTTTTTGGTTTCTTTTTTTTAAATTTAAAAGAATTATGGGGCTCTCGCTATGTTTAAAAAAAACTGTAAAAAGAATCTTGGGGCTGCCACTGGTCCGTTGAAAAAAAAATGAGGTTTTTGGTGCATTTTTTTTTAATTTGAAGGAATTTTGGAGTCCCCCGATGGTTGAACTGAAAAAACATTGAAAAAAACATGTTGGAATCCATTGGGCTTTTTTTTTTAAATTAAAAACAATTTGGGGCTATTCCTGTGTCCTGAAAAAAAAAACTAAAAAATCGTGGGTTTCGTTGCGTCTTTTTCGAAAGAATTTAAAAGAATCTTGGGAAAACCGCTGGGTTCAATAAAGAAAATGAAAAAATAATAGGGTCTTTGGTGCCTTTTTCTTGAATTTGAAAGAATCTTGGAGGCTTCTACTAGTTTAATTTAAAAAACATTGAAAAGAACCTTGGGATCCTAAGTGGCTTTTTTGAAAAAATAAAAAAATCTTGTGGCCCCTTTTGTGTTCATAAAAAATAATGAAAAAGTCTTTTCTTCATGTCTTTTGTTAAAGAATTAAAAATAATCTTGGGACCACCACTGGGTTTATAAAAAAAAGATTAAAATAAGAAGAAATGTGGTCTTCGGTGCCTTTTTTTTTTAATTTGAAAGAATCTTGGAGGCTCCTACTGGTTTAACTATAAATAGTCAAGGTATCCTTTATATTTTTGAAAGAATTAAAAAAAAACCCTGGGGCCCTCACTGAGTTCATTAAAAAATAATAATAATAAAGTCTTTAGTGCCTTTTTTAATATGAAAGAATCTTGGAGGCCCTTAAAAACCATAAAAAAAACTCTTAGAACCCCTTGTGCCTTTTTTGCAAAAAATTTAAATAATGTTGGGGGTCCTTCCTGTGTTCATAAAAAAAATGAAAAAATAATGTGGTATTCAGGGCCTTTTTTAAAATTTGAAAGAATCTTGGAGGTCCCTGCTGGTTTAATTGAAAAAAAATTGGTCTAAAGAGTTTAGACAGTACTTCCCTCGCTGTCGGAAACTTGACGACTGCATGCCTATTGTGTTTTTTTTCTCATTACATTTTTGTAGTGGGAATTTAAAAAAAAATTGCGATGACGTCAACAACATTTTTGCAAGGACACGTATATCAGTTGGGATAGATGTAGTGTAATACTAAGAATAAAATTATTATATTCTCAAATTTTCGGGAAAATGAATTGGGTCGTTTTGAATATTGATTTGTAATAATCAATAAAATAACGAAACAATTTACTCACGTATACGTATCAGAGGCAACTGAAAATCGTGTATGTATAAACATTCTTAATTTAAGATGACAGGCGTAACAGCATACGTGAGAGTCAAACAGAGAAACTGTAAACAAAACGACCATCGGTTTTATTGCTTCGACTTCCGCTTATTATATAAAACATTGGGTTTTATTTTAATTCTTGACGGTGAAATTCACAATTGGTTGATTATAAACATGTCTATTTCACATTCGCGGAACCAAGTGAGCGCATAAAACAAATGCAGGTCTGTAATGTTAAAGTCGATGTAAATAAGCGTGCTACCCTTATGTTTCAACCGAGTTTTTCCTTTAACAAATTTTGTGTCTACCAAATTGGGTTGGTTGGGGTGTAATACTAATAATATGTGTTGCCTTTAATTTAATCAATAAAATAAATTGACTTCATTAATTTTTTTGAACCACCTCTTAAGAAAATCTAAAAAATATGAATGGAATGATAAATCACAAGTACAAACTCATCATATTTTTTGCATTTTAGATAGGATTTATTCAGCAAAATTTAAGGGTGACGTCATCAATTTTTTTAGGAGGGATGAACAAATACATTTTGAACAAAAGTTTACCATGCTTATAATAACTTTAAAATATTCCCAAGATTTCAAAGCATTCGGTTTTGTAATTCCTGATTAAATCGATAAAATATATTCACGCCTTCATTAATTTTTTTGAGTCACCCTGCATATGCAAATCCAAAAATATGAATGGAATGATAAATCACAAGTACAGACTCATCATATTTTGTACATTTTAGATACGATTTATTCGGCAAACTTTTGAGCTGACGTCATCAGTTTTTTGTAGAAGATAACCAAACATATTTTGACTAAAAATTTATTATGCTCTTTATAACCTTAAAACATCTGCAAGATTTCAAAGCATTCGGTTTTGTAGTTCCTGATTAAATCAATAAAATAAATTTACGCATTCATTAATTTTTTTGAGTCACCCTGTATATGCAAATCGAAAAAATTTGAATGGAATGATAAATCACAAAAAGAGACTCACCATATTTTGTACATTTTAGATAGGATTTATTCAGCAAAATTTTGTGGTGACGTCATAAATTTTTTAGGGGGGACGACCAAATACGTTTTGATCAAAAATTTACCATGCTTATGATAATTTTAAAATATCTTCAAGATTTCGAAGCATTCGGTTTTGTAGTTCCTGAGTAAATCAGTAAAATAAATTTACGCTTTCATTTATTTTCTTGAATCACCCTGTATATGCAAATCCAAAAAATATGAATGGAGTGATAGATTACAAGTACAGACTGATCATATTTTGTACATTTTAGATATGATTTATTCGGCAAATTTTCGAACTGACGTCATCAAGTTTTTGGAGGGGATAAGCAAATATATTTTGACTAAACATTTATTATGCTCTTTATAACCTTAAAACATCTGCAAGATGTCAGAGCATTCCGTTTTGTAGTTCCTGATTAAATCAATAAAATATATTTACGCATTCATTAATTTTTTTGAGTCACTCTGTATATGCAAATCCAAAAAATATGAATGGAGTGATAAATGACAAGTACAGGCTCATCATATTTTGTACATTTTAGATATGATTTATTCGGCAAACTTTCGAGCT